CATTCCAAGAAAGGTGGTTCTTTTTTTATCTTAATTACTGAACAACATCATTAATATCACATGCTAGAAAGATACCGCCGAAAATAATTTAAAAAAATGGCTAGAATAGTATATAGACAGCAAACTATGTCCAAGCTGGATTTAGAAGAGATTCCAGCACCAGGGATATCATTGCTGATGTCAGACGGATCCTGGCTGAAAGCAAAAGAATACCAGAAGGATGTCAACTCATGCTTTATTGACTATGCAAAGGCATTTGATTGTACTGATCACAACAAATTATGGCTAATATTAAGAATGGAAATTCCAGAACACACTAAATACTGCTTGTGCAAAATCTATATCTAGACCAGGAGGCTATTGTGTGAACAGAGTAAGGGAACACAATATGGTTTTAAATTAGGAAAGGTATGTGTCAGGCCTATATCCTTTCTCCATACCTATTTAATCTGTATGCTGAATAAATTATTTTAGAAGCTGGACTCTGTGAACAAGAATGTGGCATCAGGATACCTTCCTTATGCAGATAACACGACCTTGCTTGCTGAAAATGAGGAGCACTTGAAACACTTGCTGCAGTAGATACTGCAGCCTTCATGATAGAGTGCATCTCAATGTCCTAGCCAATGGACCTCTAGGCAATGCTTTACCTTACTTGGGTCCATAATCGATACACATAGAATTAGAGTCACGAAATCAGGAGATTTATCGTGGTGGGAAAATCTGTAGTCAGGGAACTCTTCAAATTGTTGAGGAGCAGGAATGTCAGTTTGAGAGATAAGGTCCCAGGCCATTCAGGCCATGGTGGTTTTAGTAACTTGTTATGCATTTGAGAGCTAGACAAGGAATGAGGATGATAGAAGAAAAACTAATGTTTTTGAGCTTTGGTGTTGGAGAAGAGTGCTTAATATCCCATGAACTGCCAAAAGAACAAACAGATATTTTGGAGAAGGTACAGTTAAAGTGTTCCTTGGAGGAAAAGATGATAAAACTTCATCTCACATACTTTGTGCATATTGCTTCTTCTTGTTGTTAGGTGTCATTGAGTCACGTACGACTCATAGTGACACTATGAAAAGATCTGAACTCTGTTCTATCCTGTGCCATCATCACACTTTCTGCCACACTGGAGCCCATTGTGGTAATTACAGAACCGATAACTTTCTTTTTTTGTGTGTGTGTTTTAAATTTGTTTTTAGAACCAAAAACTTTCTAACATTGGCTAAAACTACAGGGAGGGAGGAGCCAGTATAGGCAGTACTGGGAACTTTGTAAAACTGGTCTAAAGCCGTAAGACTAAAGGCTGAGGTGCCTGTGTATACATATCAAAAGCTGTTCTGACTGTATTCTGCTACTAATCTGGATTATAATCTCTTGAGCTATTACATCAGATTTTGGACCAACAAAGCAGTAAGATTGGAGGTGAGATAAATAGAAAGAGGTAGGGGTCGTGTGAGACCTAATGGGACTTGGTTTTGTGTTATTGATGCTACTGGTGGAGACAATTCCCCTTTGTGAAACTGATACTTGCTCTTTTTACAGGACCCCTGCCAAATAGAGTTACACTACTTATATTTCTCCTAAGATATATTTTAAAAACTAATAACTGGTTAAAATTTTAGAGCTCAAAAACAGCTAAGCAATTATAAATTTTACTGGGTTTTAGCATGAGATTGTTGATTTCTCTTAAGGACTCTTGCTATATAAAATAATATCTTGCATGTAAATCAAGACCTAGCTATTATTATTATCTCCACTTTATAGATTAGGAAATGAAGCCTCAAAATGAGTAAGTGATTGTGTAACTGTTTATGACCATGCATAGCAAAAGGGAGAGACAAGACTCAATCCCAGATCCAGCCAACTCAAACACTCATGCTGTTTTCTACTTGTCTGTGTTGTCTTCTTAAGAAGCCCTGGAGGCTAAATGGTTAGGCTCTTGGCTGCTAACCAAGAAGTTGCTTGCTCCAACCAAGTAGCGGCCCCATGGAAGAAAGATTCCTTCTCCTAGATATTATAGTCTAGGAAATCCTATGCAATAGTTCTACCCTAAACCTATAGGGTCAGTATGGTTTGGAATCTGCTTGATGGCTCACAACAATAACTGTATTTTTTTTCCCCTTGGGCAGTGTAGATCTAACAAAACAGGAGATCACTCTGATAGGGAATCAATTCCAAATATTTCAGTTCCAGACGAGGAATCTAGAATTGAATGTATTAACAAGTCAGTCACCTGTGGTAATGTGTTTTTGAGCAAAGGGGTGTGTTGTAGAACCCGAAAGAAAAATGGATTGTCAAATACATTGATATAAATGAGTAAAAATAGACTCTACCACTCAAGATACTCCTTGTAGAGCCAATTCAAATCTGAAGTACATGGAACTCCATCTCCTTCTTCGGTGAAAGGTACTATCAAATGGAGAGTAAATCCTGATATTGAGTTTTATCAGCCTTGTGTTTAAAAAAAATTCCCTTGGTATTAAAAAGAAATTCTAACCCAAAGGCATCATTGTTATTCAAATGTGTGGAAGTTGGCAGCTTGCTGAGATGAGAACACAGAATGCAGAGTTAACTAGCTGCAGAAGTGAGAAGGGCATACTTCTTTTTATGAAGCCTTGGAATCCACCACTGTTAGGAGTGGGGTGGGGGAGAGGTTGAGGATGATTTAAGTTTCTAGAAAGGCACGGAAGAGAAAAGGCAAGTACCTTGCAAAAATCTACCTATGTTTGGGTTCCAGTCAAATATTTCTGACCACTAATGTTGGCAACAGTTTTGCCAGTTTCTTCCCATCTGATAGCACCTGGTGTTCTCTAAGGTAAGAGTAATTAATTACCAAAGCAAAGGTAATTCATTGCTTGGGCTCTTTTACGACAGGACCTAGAGTCTTGACATCTCATGTCCTCAATAGCTTGGAAAAGAAAACCTGGAAAACGTTAAGGGCATAGTTCATGGCTGTTGCTTAAAGCATTGCACAAAAGAATGAATAAATATTAATAGCAACTTAGCAACTATATCCCCCGAGGCTCCTTGAAAGAAAGGCCAGGTGATCTACTTAAAACAATTTTTAAAATCTGCCACTGACGCCCCTATGTTGCACAGTTGCACTGTGACACACGGGGGGGGGGGGGGTAGTTCCCCCACAAGCGAGAGTCCAGTTCACAAAATGTTTAAGAGCTGTTTGATGTCAAGGAGATGGAGTTTTCTATAGAGAAAGTTTAGTTCCAGACCTTAACCAGTGTCTAGTTTAGTTGGGAACTAACAATCACCACTACTAATCAGAATCTATGGCATCTTCTTTTTTTTTTTTTCTTCTATAATTATATTTTATTAATTTTCACAAACATTTACAGAGATTTTGGGCTTCCACTCATTCATTGTTGCAGTATTCTCTCTACCCTCCTCCCAGTTTGTTCTTGTCCAAATGCCACAGTGCTTGTCAAAGCCAGTTCTGATTAATCTTCTTTGTCAGTGTGTCCTTTGCCATTCCCTATCACTCCTCCCTGAGAGAGACTTCACCCTGAGTCATAAGGAAAAGGGGATGGCTATTCTCTTAGCTACTTCCTGCTGAAAAGGGACGCTGTGGGTTTCAGGGTGAAGATCTTCTCTCACTACTCTAAAGGGCCCCTTTGGCAGGGCAACAGAAGTTCAGGAACAGACTACAGGAGATCGGCCTTAAACAGTAAGGATGACTTTTGGATGGGGGCACAGGTACCAAGACATGAAGAAGCTGGGGGGAGAGGGCTGAGGGGGGGACATGTGGTGGCGGTGAAAATTATGTGTTGGGTGGTTACTCCTAAACCCAGGGTCTACATAAAACACGTGACTTCGCAGTGGCCAACTGATGAGTTTATGAAATAGCAAAACCAGGCCCAGGCTTTGGACTTCGGTAGAGTAGGAAATTTCTAAAGATCCACCCTCCACGTTTCCTCCCTCTCGCCTCTGTAAGATAAGTACAAATATAAATATATACCCCTAAGGAGACAACAATCTTTACAACCTAATGTGTATACCATCTTTGGCAAATGAGGTCTTTCCCAAGCTTTTGAAATGCAAACCGTCAGCTTGCTTTCACATTCACTTACTTATTCATTCCCCAAAAGTTTAGGGGAGGCCTAGTAGAGCCAGAACTTTGTTACGCACCACCACCGGGGCGGGATGGGGGTGAGGGGAGGTGCAAAGATGAATGACAGTCGGTCCCTATCTTGCAGGAGTTCACAGCTCAGTGGTGGAGAGGCAAACGCATGCCTCTTAAAATGGAGCTAAAAACGTAAATACAGGATCTTAGGGGCTTAGTTTTTGGAAGATTCCGTGAGGGTGATGTGGGAAATGAGCAAAGTTTTTCCAAAGAGTTGAGTTGTTCGGTTTTTTTTTTTTAAACCAGGTTTAAAACTGATAGGACAGAACTCTTTTTCTTTATGGCAGCAACCAGACTCAAGGCTCTGGGAGTCCAAGAAAGAGGGGCTTAAATGAACAGGGGTGGCTTTTGGCTAGAGTGCCGGGGCTCTCAAAGGGCGCGCTGGCAGGAGGTGGGGTGGGAGATTTGCTGGGTGGCGGAGGGTGCGACAGAAGGGCTCTCAGCTGAGAATTTATTCTGCAGCTCTGCACTGTCTCTTAGTCGCTAGAAAACTGTCTCCCTTTCCTCACACCTCCCCCCCCCCCCCCCCGCCAAGTAAGTTCTTGCAGTTAGGGGTGGGGATGGGAACCGTTTCCCAAAGTCACTGCGTTAAGTTTAAAGGTCTGAAAAGCTGTCCACGAGTGATTGAAATCTTGTGCTTCGGTAACCAGAAAAGGAAATGTGTGAGATGCAGGGTAGGGAACCCACTTCAAAACAGCAGCCCCCAAAGGGCACCAGCTCGGGACGATTAGAGCGGCCTGCAGGAGCCCGGCGCGGGGCGGTGGCGCCGGCCGCAGCGCGGAGCCGCGAACAGGCGGGTTAAGGGGAGAGGAAGAGAGGGAGGGAGGGAGGAAGCGCGAGAGGGAGGGAGGAAGAAAGGGAGGGAGGCGGCGTCATGTGATCCGCTTCCCTGCTCCTTTAAGCGTCCACAGGCGGCGGAGCGGCCACAATCACAGCTCCGGGCACTGGGGGAGCCCGAGCCGGCTGCGCCCGGGGAATCGGTGCGGGCGCCTTTCGTCCCGGTCCCATCCTCGCCACACTCCGGCACCCCAGAAGTTTTGCAGCGTCCAGAGAGGAGGCGAGGAAGGAGGGAGCGTGAGCAGGGAGGAAGCAAAAAAAAAAAAACACCACACACCCTGAAACATTTATTTTAAGGAGAAAGGGGGAGAACAGGGGGGCGCAAAAATGGCTGGGGCAATTATAGAAAACATGAGCACCAAGAAGCTGTGCATTGTTGGTGGGATTCTGCTCGTGTTCCAAATCATCGCCTTTCTGGTGGGAGGCTTGATTGGTAAGTGCGAGAGCTGCAAACTTTTCCCCTCTTCCCTCTCTCTTTTCGGGCCCCTTCCCTCTTTGCCTCTTAGGCTACTTGTTACAGTATCACTGCCTTGCTTCTATGATCTAATTAGTCCGGCTATTGTGCTTAAGAAAGCAGAGCTCCATGGGGCTCCGTGGGGCACAATCCAGTCTAGTGGCTAAGAGAAAAGGAGGGGAAAAAGTTTTGGCCTAGTTTCAGTATCCACTTGAAAGGAAGGAGGTGGGGTGGTGGGGGTGGGAATCTTAAGCATGGCGACGGATCGCGCGAGGAAGCGCTTGGTTACAAAGTTGATTGCTCGCCACCCCCCCATCCCATTCCCGTGCTTTTTCCCGCGTTCCCCCCTTTGCCTCTCGGTTTCCTTCCAATCAGGTCCTAGAGGGCAACGTAATCGACTTTATTAGGAACAACAGTAAAGGCAGCGAACTGCGTCCAGCACGAATCCCGAGCCCTGTTCCAGGGTTGTGGTCATCGCGTGTCTAACGTTGCATTTAGCTCTCTGGACCTGGGGGAGGGGGGGAGATGCTGGCATTTTGGGTCGCGACCCTTGCGCCCTCGGATGCCGAGAGGGTCGCCCCTTCCCTCCGCGGTCGCCGGCAGGTCGGAGCTGGGGCCGGGCGGCCGGATAGGCTGGGTGGAGTGGGAGAAAGTCCTTGGCTGGCGCCGCGGGAAGTTGGAGAGGGCGCTGGGGAAAAGCATATCCGAAAGGTGTTGCTTTTGGCCTCCTGCCCTCTCGCACATGCCCCCTCCCCCACTTAGAGTCCTCAGGGGTGTTGATTGGAGACCTTGATCTTCCCCTGGCTCCCCTGCAGGTGACAGCTCCCAGCCCTGGGCGGCCGCCGGACCCTGGGAGACCTCTCCTGGAGTGCACCGCGCGGACCTCTCGGAGCCTAGCCGGCTTCCGGGTGGAGCAGGGGATCCCGCGGATCCTCCTTGGGGAAAACCCCGCCGCTTCTTCCCACCTCTGGATCTCCGTCTCCACCTCCATTCATCCACCGCCACTGTCTGCACCCCTGTGCCACGCCCCCTCCCCAAAGATTTAGGACATCCTGGCTTGAACTTCACCACAAACTTTGCAAGCAGGCGCGGGTGGAGTGTGGGTGCTTCCTTGGAGGCTTTGTTAAACTTTGCGGGACGGAGCGAGTCCATGGAGTGGCTTTCTCCCGGGGCGGGAGTGGGGGCCTGCAGTTCTCATGCGAGAGCCGCGCCGTGTGGTCTGCAGGGACTTGGGGGACCGGAAGGGCGGCGTGGTGTGGGCATCCCGAGGTCCTGTGAACGGTGCTGCCTCTAGACCTAAGCTTGAGGGCCACATAGTAAAGGGAATGTGGTCCTACAATCAGAGCAATATCCAAGCTAATTGTTTTAAACAAAGGAGAATGGGAGAAGGAAGCAGCGGCCCAGAGAAGGGAAATTTCAGGAAATCGTGCCTTTCTTTCTGTGGACCTGTTTGTATCTACAAAGCAGAAAAGAGTTCAGAGTTTTTCCAAGCTTGTGTCCTCAATTTGAACTAAACAGCGTGCTCTTTTTATTTCAGGAGCCCCTGTCCTCTAAACATACACGCACTAATTTGCATTTCGTGTTGCTAGCTACTGTTGGGCTACGTGCAATCTCCATGTTTCTCTGAATTGGATTTGTCTCCAGCCTCTTAATACCTTCCCTCGCTGGGAGTTGAAGGCAGGCTTCCCTGCGCCCTCACAGTGATTATGCAGCGGTTACAATTACACCTCTTGTCTCCCTTGATGAGCAGTTGCAGTTAGATGCCATTGGATCTTGTGTGATTTCAGTGGCAGACCATAATTAAAATTTCTTGCACCTTGTGCTTTCAGAATTAAATTGGCCTATTATCCCTGTCTGACCTTCATCCTCTTTGAGGTTTTTGCACAAGCCCTGAACCATTATTCGCAGTTCCCTGATGTTTGCTGGTGGATGTTTCCTTCTCCATTTTTAAAAAGCTGATCTTGAAGAGCCCCTCATTCACTGTTGTAGATTTCTTAGGACCTTTCTGAAACCAGTGTAATTTTTGGAAGCCTAGGAACCCGTGAATGGCTCCTGGCTGTGAGAGTTACTTTAGGTAACTGTTCAAATGAGAGTTCTGTCTAGAGTAATTGGGATGGAGAGTTTGGTTTTATTTTGTTTGCCTTTCCCAAGAGAACTAAATTAGTGATCATAGTTAGCTGACAAGCCACCTCAAAAGTCAGTGACAGGTCCTGCCTGTAACCATTGCTCTGTGCTGGTAGAGTCAATTCATAGTGGCCCCAGGGGTCAGAGGAACAAGGGAATCTAGTTACAAAATTATAGGGAGCTCTGGTGGCCTACTGTTAAGAACCTGAGCTGCAGTCCCAAAAGCACATGGTTGTTCTTGGTTCTAATCTTTATAGAAGCAGATTGTCAAGTCTCACTGGATGGGTTTAAATTGCCAACTTCTCAGCTAGCAGTCCTGGTGCTTAACTGTTGGGCAAGTAGGACTTCATAACTATGTAATTATTGGTTTTGGCCGTTGAGTTGGAACCAACTCATAGCTGACCCTCCAAGTGGGTTTTCAGAGGCAGTGAATAGTAGACCACTCCGGAGATTATCCATCTTTCTCCCACTGTGCATCTGGTAGATTTGAACCATGAGTCTTTGGGGTTGTAGCTCAAGTGCTTACCACTAGGCCACCAGAGCTCCTATAATTATATAACTAGATTCCCTTTAATAAGCAAATTGCTTTAATCTCACTGTTTCTTAAGAAAGAAAAAAATATTTATGCAACACTTCTTGAAGCAACTAGCAACTATTTAGCTCTCCTCTTTGCTTAGTTTCAAAGTTTATGCCTCCCTGTGTTGTCCAAAGACTGAGAGTGTGTTTGATCTAACCTAAATGACTTTTAAACCTTTCTCATTTCCATTTAGAGAGTCATCTTTTTGCTCTTTATAACAAATCTAGGAACTTGTATATGCTACCTAAACATAAGGCAGAATTTGGTAAAAGGTGAGTTCTCTCTTTCCCCACCAGATATCCCTAGGACACAAATTTCCCTGGAAAGCAGATAGAACTGATCTAAGAAAGTTTCAAGAAAGAAGGCAAGTAGAATGACTAAGTAGTTGAAGGACCAGTCTGTACATTGGAAGGCAAGTCATAGTTACCACTGCTCCACTTTCCCTAATTAGAACTCTTTCCTTGCTCTGTCTTCCTGCAATTTCAGAAGCCAAATGTCAATTGGTGTGAATTCTATCTAATAGTTTTCCAGTAGACCAAGTAAGAAAGTGAAATCTTTGTATTCAACTCTTCAGAAAATGTTTCTTTATCACAGACTGTTGTCTTTGATGAAAGTAAACAAGGAGGCTTGCGGAAGAGAAGATCTAAATGGCAAAGTGCCTGATTGTAAGAGTGGAAGTACTCCATATACATATACACACATATACACAGAGAATAAAAACAAACACAGGAAGAACAACAGCAAACCCCAAAGAGGACAAACCATGTGTCCCTGGATGGGGGTAAGTCAGTTTAGAACCAAACATCAGTCTTGTTGGCAGATTAAAGAATTTAAGATATCTTTTTTAATTTTTAAAAATTTTAGTGAAAATTAAAAAATCATACTGAGTTTTTATTCAATCATTCATAGACATTTCATTTTCCGACATTAATGACAATTGATTTCTCATCACACTCAGTGTATCTGTTTATTAAATTTTGCTCCCCTTCTCACATCTTCTCCTTCCCTTCCCATCCCTGTCAGCCTTCCAAGGTTGAGTCTGTTTATTTATGTGTAACCCTTTCCTTTAGCCTTTTATATTCAAGGTTTTATGTCATAATTGTCTTTTTGGAATTAACTTAGTTGTTCAAGATAGAATTTACCCCCCCCCCCTTCACTTTAATGGTTTTTGTGACTGGTGTTTAGTTGCTGCCTTCTGGAATTGCTGGAGGGAATTTAAATATCAGATGTAAAACAAAGATGAGTGATTGGGTTTTGGTGCAGCCATGTTAAATATTCTTTTATTCCAGGGTCATTTTATGAAGAATTGATTTATTTGTTTGTGTTTTCCCTGATCCTCAACATGTTTATCCTGCTAAAGTTTTAGGGGGTTTTGTAGGAAAGCTCAGGAAACCTATGTTTTATGTGGCAGAATTTTGGATATTTAAAAATTCACTGACTTACACAAGCCAGGCTTATGTGAAAACAATGAGCACTTAGGAAATCAAGCATCTGATTGTTTTCAAATGTATTTACTGAGAGAGCTGCTTAAGTGGTTAACTTTTTTATTATTTATATAATTCACTTGAAAATTTAAGAACCTTTGAAAGAAAAGAAAATACTAAAAAAAAACCCCATAACTTATTCTTTATCCTCCTTGGAAATAAGCCTGCAGATTTTTTTTTTAATTTCCTTTGATTTCACATTTGGTCCTTTTAGTTCATGGAGAGGCAGATGCAGGGGTAGTAGAGGGGGAGGGGAAGGAGACCATGTGCCTTGAAACAAGAGTGCAGCCGACTAAAAATCATGAACTTGAGTCTCTGGCTCATTATGTGTAATTTTCTCAGCCTCAAATTAGTGATGTCTGGGGGATATAATGGTTGAGAAAGCAGGTCACTGTTCCCACCTGTTTTAAAACTATTAGTGTGTAAAGATCAGAACTGGATGAATAAAAATTAGTATATTGTTTTCAGAATACTTATAATTGTAAGCATCTCAAAGCTAGGTCTCAAATAAGTATCAGTAAGTTACCTACTTTCATTTCTTTAGAAATTATTGGAACCTGTTTCAAAAGTACACTTTTTGCTTGGTTTTAAATGCTGAGAAGCTTGTATGGATCTGTGATTTCTCTATTTATTTCTGGGGCTTTTTCTGCCTTCCATTATGTAGTCTCAGTATTTTGCTATTATTGAGGTATAGACCTTTGCCAGCCTGGATTGTAGTCTATTCATGTGAGTTGTTGGTTTTGCTGTTGTTTGCTGAGTTGCAGATTTTTAAGAGAGAAGTTACATTTATGTAT